TCTTGTCTCTGACCCGTAAAAAAGGTGGCCAATAATCTCATTCACACACTGTTTCCATCACAGACCCCACATATCCTACACAAGACCATAAAAGTAATATTGACATTGTTCAGCTGCATAAAAAGATGCATGTCAGACACAAAAATTTTGAAAAGTTATCGCTTTCCCTCAAAGCCAGACACACTCAGCTCCAGGTACAATAGAAATCTCAATTTAAACCCTCCTAGAAGACAATGGAAACTTAGATATCAACATAATATTCAGTCCAAATTCTCATTTTACTGTTACAGTACTGATGGCTTTGAGATATTGAGAGAGTGTGGGGAGCATAATCAGTCAATAGACCTGGTGGAGGGCTGCACCACACATGGTAATAAAGCCACAACTTGAGCACCCCCCCTCTCCACCCAACCCCCCATCTCCCTGCACCAATGCCTGCCTCATCACTCCACACAAAATATCCCTCCCTTAATTGGTCTGTGCTCCTCCAACATGTTTGTAATGAAAAAGCAGCACATAATTCTTAGTTTGTTGGCTGGCAGAGCCCAATTTACAAAAGTGGAGGTTGGTGATAAGCAGAGACAGTACGGCTGTGGAGTGCTCAGAACAATGAATCACCCCGCTGCCAGGGTTGAGCAGAATATAATTGAGTCCAACATCTCTGAGCACTTTCACCATAATTAATGATAATCTGTAACAGAGGAATCTGAGATTCCAGTTCACAGAACTGTTTAATTAGGCCCAGTAATGAAAGCACAGGCACTACAAGAATATGGCCGGCCTCATGATTAATGATTTGTGCTACTGAACACAAAAGTGCTGCACCGTTAACTCCAACGGATGCTGCTGTGTCTCCCTGGCATTTACACAACACCAAAATACATATGGAGCTGTTTGCATCCCCTATATAAAACAGGATAAATACTATGTTTTTCTTTTTTCCATCTGCATATACTCCTGCTTTCATTATTTCATGCTCTGGATTTACCAAACATTTTATTTACCTTTTTATAATAAAATAAATCAACTGCTAAATAGATTTGTACATTATAATGAAGACTGTTTGTCTGTTTATGAATATATTAGCCAGGACATAAGCCCAAAATGTCCCTACCTGTATTGGAAGATTATATTTTTCAGTAAACTAATAAATATGATTTTCAACATTACAATGAAAAAAAATGTCATTGCCTGTTGATTTCTATTGTAAGTGTTAACATAACGTTTTAGTACAATTCAAATGCAACATTGTGCCCCCTCTGATTCAATTCTAAATAACACAATCCCATTATAACTAGATTTGTTATGAGGTATATCTTTAGATGTATAGGTATAATATGACAAGAAATGATAAAGATGATAACAGAAATACATAAATCAAAGTTAAGTAGTGTGGGAAACATGTTTTTTCAAATTGAACACAATGAATAAGTTCTTACTTGGCTACACAGCTATAAAAACCTTTCCTTGAATAAACAGTGGTGATACGGCTCTGTGCAAAAGATTGGCAGGTGACGGAAAAAATGTGTGCTACCATTCACTCAAGTAATAAAAAAGGACATAAGAATGGAGGTCCTTTACTTAAAAGTATGGATTAAATGATTGAATGAAATGCTCCAGCTCCCGTTTGTGCCTTGCAGGCATCTGTGTGGTTATTTCCTGGTAGTATAGCCAGAGTTGTGCGACTTCATAACACAGCAGCTGCCAGGGCTGTGCAGGGGCTATGTGCAAGACTGGCTCCACCTTTTAAATGGATCTCATGAAATGCACAGTAATACAGTCATACCATTACAGAAACAAAATAAGATTTTTGTTTGGCATGAATTGGATTTCTACCCAGAAAGAAAAAGCTATTAGTCACTCCCTGTCAGTTTGTTGACTGCTTCCAGTGTGATGTTTTTTGTGTGCGAGACCTCTGAAGTTAAATTTCACACTTAGTTGCATATTTTCAACTTAGTGCTTCTTATGGTGAAATGGTTGGGCAAATCAAGAATCATGCTAAGAGACATAACAGAGAGATCAGACTGTTATAGAATAATAGGAACAGTATGCTGTGCGGGAACCGACCATTCATTTTATGCATCATACCTACAGTAAAATGTTGAAGTCTCCATCAAGCAGACACAAGCCTGAGGAAACGACACTGTGAAAGGCAATAAGCGCAGAAAACCAGGCAAAGAAGCTCAACCCTCATAAATCTATGACAGAACTTTTCCAAAAATAAGAAAGAGGAGGCCAAAAAAAAAGAGAGTAAAATAGATGTATTCCTGAGGAGGAAATGACTGCAACCGCCCAACCCCTTGCCCTCACATTTCCCATGTCTAAATCTTGTTTAGTTCTTTAATTCTACAGTTTCTGACCTGGATCTGGCAATCGCTGCACATGAAAGAAATTACAAAAGCCTCTCAGTCACAGCAGCCCAGCTTCCTCCTGCACCACAGCATTTGTCATTGCCAAAACAGCAGAGTTTAATTAAGTGTTGTGAGCAGCCTAGTGAGAAACACACTTTAAATTAAACCTCTGAACATGCTGCTATTGGTTCTTTACCTTCTCAACAATCAGCGGGGTATACGGCATAAATTTCTATCTCTCGAGGGGGAAGGCAGCTGCTGCACCTCCAGCGATTCATAAACGGCTCGCCTTCCCTAGAGCAATCTCTATTACAGCACATTTCATTACAGCCCAGTTTGGAAACAGCTAGCAGATGAATGCGATAATTAATGTCCCTTCCCAACTAAACATTTTATTTACTCTTGATGAATTAACGGTCGTTATCAGGGTTGGGAAAAAAAGCATGTACTGTATGTTGGTGCATCTGTGTAGGTGAAAAGAATTACATGGCAGATTATCTTCTGAGGCATCAAGCAATCCTTGATGCAAGAGGCTGAATTAATTCCATCCTCTCCATAATAATGGATTGTTTCAAGTTGGTAAGCATTTTAATTCAGCTATGCATTTTTAAGTATGGCTTTTATTACATCAAAAGATACATCAGCTTTGGAAGAGACCCCCGGCTGTTACATCTGCACAAAAGATGGTCCTGCTTTTCAGAGTTGTTTAAATTTCCCCTTGAGATTTCAAGATGTTAATGTTAGATGATTTTAAGAGCCAGTCTTAACAGAAAGGATTATTTAGATGCATCACAATGAATCAGTGTATTAACCCTATTGTGGTAACATGCAAATTACTCTGATACATTATTGATCATACAGTCTCAATGCCAAAGGTGACAAGAATATGATATCCTGCCACAAAGGACACATACTAACCAGGTGGACATTTAAAGTGTATATCAGGTGATATGAGGGATTCACGGTATCTGATTTCTGCACGTTTCCAATATGCCAATATATAAAAAAATATTTTAGACAATTGCCAATGCTGCAAACAAATTTATATTTTTGGCTTAATTGAAGGTACTATCATGGAATAATTGTCATTCTCTTTTTGTGATGGTCCATTTAGTATTTTTGTACTAAATGGTCGTACAAGTGAGGGGTACATTCATTTCTGTTTGTTTAAAAAACTGCTTTTATTTTGAAAGAAAATAAGGACATTCTGGTAGATCAAAGGTTACAACATTAACTAAACCACAGATATAGGAACAATTGGAAGAGTGAATAAAGATAAAGGAAACGGTTAAAAAGTGAAATGTTTGATGTCACAAGTTTGATATTACTTTGGACTTGTCAACTTAACTGTCTGTTTTTTTTTTTTGAATGAGACATTCAAAGGCGCAGCAGTGTTGATATTTTCCATCAGGAAGCAGTTATTTCAGTGCGGTGGCATCGCTACAGTGCACCTAAAGGGGCAAAATATCACGCAATCAATACAGTAAGAAAAGATGAATGCGTTTATTTTTGGACCTAAATTGCATCGCGATTAACACGTTAATGCAGACAGTCCTAAATATCATGTTATTATAGTGTGTCCTCTCCTCTTCTCCTCACCTTCTCAATTATAGAGTCAGTATGAATCTTATCCCAATGCAAACCACATATTCAATGATCATGCACTAGGTGAAAAAGTAGGATCAATGGCAGTTGATCCTACGTGAACGAGTGAGTCCCTTTTATTTATTTATTTTTCAAGTCTGCCTGTCTTTTTGCTATACTGTCAACACACGAAGCAACACCAATTGCTCAACCTACTGGAAACAGTAGCGGGTAAATAAAATAGCGTTGAACACTGATTTGTGACAGAGCAGAGCGACCGGTCTCTCACGCTCACTGATCATAGAGCAGGGCCTCCTCCTTGTGTCAGAGTGGGTTTCAATGTTCACGATGAAAGTGTTTGTGGCTGTGGCTCAGTGTTAAAGTCATTTGTCTCTCATTTGTAAGGTTGCAGGTCCCAGCTCCTGCAGCTACATGTCCGATGTGTCCCTGGGCAAGACACTTAACACCAAGTTTTCTTCGCTGCTTCGTCATTGGCATGTGTATGTTTTTGAAAGGGATTAGTTGATAACTGATAGACACTTTACATAGCAGCGTTGAATGGGTGTGAATGGGTCAATGTGACCTGTGGTGTAAAAACACTTAAAGAAGTAAGAAGACTAGAAAATAACTGCAATTTACTGTACATTTATAGCAATCAGGTATACTTGTATTCTCCCAAGTTTCAGCAAATAATGGCAACATTAAGTTGGTGTGCGCTCTCATGGTCTGGACTTTGAAATATGTGCTAGAATAGCTTTACTCGGTATCCCTTGAGCCCTTTACAGCAAGGATTTGAATCTCCATTACAACTGGGTTACCTGCTGAACATGTGTTTAAACTGATGTCTGAATTGTATTAAGTCCAAAATTATTAAAAGAAGCAGTATGTGGCTCTGACGTATGGTCAATAGATAGATACGATAGATGTACTTTATTGATCCCAAACTGGTAGATTGTGGTAAAAATGGCTATAAATACTGTAACTCCCTTCAGTGTTATTGAAAATCTTTTATAAAGCTCAGTTAATTTATTGATGAACATTTTATTTCTGACATGTCCTTCACAGTTAAAGTCCCCTGCTACAAAGATGTTGGAAGAGTCGTATCAGGAGATGGTGGAGTTTTCAGCAGGAACTTAACACTCCTCACAGTGACTTAGAAAGTCATCCTTCTCTGGTCTGATGCACAGACATGAGTTGAGTATCACATTAAGGGGGATGTGTGTGAATATATGTTCATAACCCTTTTAATACTGTAATACTGGGATATAATATTATTCACTGCAAAAAAATAAAATTATGTTTATATACTGTAAATATATGTGTGTGTCTGTGCTTACAGTGATATTAATTTGGGTCATATCCCCACTTTTGCATACCAGATTTTTGATTGAAAGCAACCCATGTAAAATGTATATATACTACAATCTACTTCTGTTTGAGAAGCAATTGAAAAAAAGGACAGTTTTTATCAAATCTGTGAAGTTGTAAAAACTTTTCCATAAATTGAAGTACAAGTATCTTCAGTCAGAATGAATGGGCTTCTGTCGAAAGTCTCATTATGAGACTCACCTCTGATCAGTTTTATGGAACTCTGTGTACTATTCCTCCTCTCAGCTCAGGTGCAGCACCGCTTTTTAAGGTGTAGTATAACTTCATTTATATACTCACTCTGTATGTGGGAACAATGGTGCCTTAGTGGCTGAGTGGTTAAAATAACAGCCAGGTCTTGTGCCCATATAACAAGCCAAACCCTGGCACAAACACAGAAACCAATCAAATTCAGCCCACATGAACCTTAAACAAAGGTGGAGGTACATTTTCTATCGATGTCGGATGACATTTCCTTGTCCTCCCGTTGCTACTGCTCCCACGTTTGAGTGATCAGACAGCTATTACAAGGTCCAGGTTTATTAGCGAGACCGTATAGGCCCAAAGCTCACTGCAGTAGAGGTGTAATTCTCTACAAAGTGTGTCACGTTAACTCTGTTGACTGATCCACACAACAGCTGGTTGAGGGGACCTCTCACACTTGCAGCAGCCCTGTAAGGAAGCAACGATGTCTGTAACTCTCCATAGTGCAACCAGTAAGGAGCTTTGACATGCTTTTCATACCTGGCTTGTTCCTCTTGGAGCAGGGAGTCACTTATACATGGCAGCTTCTGAGTGCTAAATTGGATGAAGCTTCTTGTCTGATGTATCGCCACAAAACATGTTCAACTTAAAGTTTAATGTACTTTGTAGGACAGGGTATATTGTAGGAAAATGCTCATGCTATATATTCAGTATTTGCAAAAGCTTTGCCATTAAAGTTCACATCACTTCTATATTTAAAGGCTTTATATGCGATTTTTTGATCCAGCAGATGTCGCCCTTGAGCACCAGCATGAAACCAAAACAACTTGCGTGCATTGTTGTGTTAGCATGCTAATACTAGCGACCTTTATTATGCTCGTATCTTCACACTGCATGTAAATTTACCTGAAATGAGCGTGATCTAGAAACACAGTTAAGCAGTGAGTACAGTATGTTATTCTTCTTTTCTCTAGTCCCTCAATTAAACAACTTTTATACACGAGGGGAGGAGTCAGCCGGCCGTCCCGGCGATATAAACAAACTGAAGATAGGACTTAAAAAACATCACAGACAGTGGGACTCGGGTGTTACACCCATTGTAGACAGTCATGACTCACAAGTTATTTTCAGAGGATATACTTGATTTCTACATTTAAGTGTGAAAAATTACATATTAAGCCTTTAAAGCTCATGTAAGGAACATGTTGGTTTTGGTGTCCCCTGTGGACAAAGTGGAAAGATTTATCTTTTTGCTGATCTTGTTCTGTACATAAATATTATTGTCTGACAAAAATAATCTCATCCTTCTTTATTTTAAATGTCTAAAGTGCAACGTACAATGGTACGCGCTAAGATCTAAAAATATGCAGTAAACCAACTGATCATGGGTCCAAGGGACGCACCTCATATTTCCCATACAGCACAAAACATTGTGAATGACAAACTTGTGTTAAAACAGGGTTTTACCTCCATCAAATTTCGTCCCTCCCCCAGCTCTTGTCAAAGTCTGGCAAGTGAATTTCATGATACTCTTTTCTGAGGACTGCAATTAGTGAATTTGTCAATTCTTACTGCACAACACCTATCCCATGGCAGCAGATTTAGTCCTTAAAGAAGCTACTTATTATGAATCAATCTCTCTGATAATCTGTTTGGCTTTTGTAGGTCATATAAAGATATGGGTAGTAACCTCAGACAGTTTGAAAACTTCTCACAGGAGCTTAAGGCAGCTAATTGTAGCTTATTTGATGAGAACTTTGTAATCTTTCATATGTAATAAATCTAAGACTAAAGGAAGCATGGTTACATTTAATCCACGAGGTAGATAAGTCACCCTTGTTACAACATCAGGCAGAATGTATTGGGACGTACAGTATGAAGGTCAGAGTTGGATCTCTCTCATCGTTGATCATTTAAGGATGCTCCTCTGCTCTTCCTCTTTGGTTTGCCAAATGATATATGATCACTTCTGCAGCGCTAGTTAATGTACACTATTAGCTCTGTATTTAAACATGATAATGTAATTGATTCACAAATTGATTTATTGTTGTTAATTCAAGTGTTTCATGTATTAATCACAGTAAAGAAATTAATTTAGTATATTTTATGAGCTGTTGTGCGATCAACTAATGATATGAATTAATCAACTTTAATAAGAATTCAAACACTATTGTTCGGCTAATTTGTCACTTTGTAAGATGGAGAATGAACAAGGGCCTTTTGATTTACAACACATAACTCTACTTAAAGGGATTCTAGGGAATTACACTGTTTTGTTTTTGGATTATAGACTCAGGTTCAAATGTATAGTCTAATCCACTCCAAGTGACTGCTGTGCTAAAATCCTTCCTAGTTTATCTACCAAGGTTTAAGCCTGATCACTTTCAGGACACATGTCAAGATGCAGATTCCAATCTTAATTCCAAACCAAATAGTCTGTTATTGTTTATGTTTTTTATAGTACAAGTGACAACAAGGGTTTGGTTGTGTTTGCTTTGTTTACAGTTCGTGGAAGTTGAAATCAAAGTGACTCTTACTTCTATCTTCACATTTGTGTCTTCTTCATGAAAGTAGAGCTTTGGTTTTATAAAACTGTTTTCATTCTTTGCCTAGAGTAAATACTGCAGTTGTTTTCCACTCCAGAGAGACATTTAAGTAGTTCATTAGTGGCTATGTCATGTCTTTAAAGTATTGATCTCTCCAGTCAATGGAAAAATAACAACCCTGGTTATAAGCTACTTGTCCATAGCGATGGGCAACATAAATTATTTAAAAAGGGCACATTCACTGCGGCCATGGAGCCATCAATCATAAGATATGGCGATGACAAAAAAGCTGTGCTTCACAGGTCCCTCCTATCTCCCCACAGAACAATTCTATCAGCCAGGTGAGTGTGAGGAGGCAGGATGACCTGATGTCACTCACATTGTTGCCTCTTCCTTTGAAGTGCCCAGCTCTCCTCTCAGCCCGGGAATGGGATGGCTAAATAGATTCTCTGTGTTTACCGCTGGCCTCCCTTCCAGAGCACACTTCAATTTGTCTAACAATAAAAGGTGGACAGAAGAGTTGGAAATTCCCAAACAATGGATGAATTTTTTATCAAATGCTTGAATTGAGTTGCAAGTTGCGCAATATTTATTCATAGGTCTTTATTCAAAAATATTCCATTGAAAAGTGAACGATACAAGTGTTTTATACACAAGAGGTATACGGGAGGTAGCTTAGAGTAAACAGGATTTATGATACGGAGCGGGATGTTTTCATCCTGATGTTTACTGTAGTTTTGAGCTCTACAACTGGAGGAAGAGAAGATAGAAGCCCTAGACAAACTAAATGAACATGAGTTTACTGTATATCTTATTCAACCTTTATTTATAGTTGAAAGATCATGACATCAGGTCATTACAGAAATAATTTGAAAACAGACATTCAATCAAAAAAGAAAAACAGGAGACAGATACATATACGACTGCTAAAATCAGTCTTAAAAAAGTTTAAATAATTAGATAAATGATTACACAAATTAGATAATTAAGCGAGTACAAAACTGCAATAAATTAACACACTTATGTAAAACAGTTACAAACAGAGGTTGGGAGGTTTAAAATCAGGTTACTAAAATGCCCAAAAAGTAAAAGTAAATTTCCCTCATGAAGATGCTGTATGTTGTTCCAAGAGTCCGGTGCAGAATAAGAAAAAGCAGATTTTCTAATCCAGTTCTGATCTGACTCGAGGAACATTCAACAGTAAACGTCTTGAGGAACGTGTCTGGTAATGCCCAGTCAAAAGATGGATCAGTTCTGTCAGGTATGAAGGTCATTTTTCTGTGAGAGCTTTATAAACAAAAAGATGCCAATGCATATCACGTCTTTCTGTTAGAAATGACAACGTTGGATGGTCTGTTATAATCTTGGGAACAAAGATGGCTGCATTACAATTATATAATCTTTCTGATGTAGCAATCTTGAAACCTATCGAGCATCACGACGACATTATAATCTCTGGTTTAATTTGGATAAGCAGTAAAGATATCTAGACCAGATGGACTTCCTTTTTTTGTGTGTTGGTCATTCTTAACAGTAGAACTTGAAACTTGCTGGAGTGTTGTGATAATATATTAAACTGGATTATTGTCAAAAGTAACACATCATATGCAGATATTTTATAGATATTGATAACATGCACAACAGCTAATTAATTCACTTCTTTTGCTTTCCAATAGACCCTTCTACTTGGACTAACCAGAACATTTCCAACTAGTGCCCGACCGATTTATTGGCTGGCCGATAATATTTGCTGATATTAGCATATCAAGTGACTATCAGAATTGGCTAATTTTACTCTGATATGTGCCGATTTTGTTAAGTTCGTTCATCAGTCAGATGTAATTTTACTTGACCATAAATTGATTAGAAATAAGCACAACATATGAGAATAACCTACATACTGTAAACCATCCTTTTCTAAACAAAACAACAATAAAATGCATACCAGTAACATCGTGAATTTATTGATTGCTTTCTGGAACAAGCAGCAAACTTAAAAAAATATGAAGTCCAGAAAAGCATGATGGGACATGTGGGCCATACTAAACATACAGGACATGTCATAGCTGAGCTGCGGACATGCGGAGTCAAGTGTTGTTTTATGGATTTAGAAAACAGATTT